ATATATATATATATATATATATATATATATATATATATATATATATATATATATATATATATATATAAGAAGAGATTGGAGATATATAAGAAAGAGATTGGAATCCAATATATTTTAAAATCTTTTTTTTATTTCAATTGGTATTGTAAAACACAAATTAAAAATAATGGAGATAGAACATAGAAATAGTCCTTAGAGGAGAAATTCAGGAAAATGTTATTTCTGATGCTCATCTTTCTGATTGGCTGCCATAAAGCTGCTCTGGGGGAGCAGCTTCAGGAATTTGAAGCTGCTCCCCCAGCTAGCACAGCTAGCATAGCTGACAAGCGGGAAATGGAAAAGTTTGTGACACAAAACTTTTCAGCGGCCCTGATGTGGACGACACTGCTACAAAAAAACCCCCCTAAACTGTAGAGATTAAATAAAATTTGATGGGATTAATGTCAAAATATTACACATTTTTTCTTTTCAAAAGAGGGGATGGTGGTGGAAAATGTCATCTGGTAAAAGATTCAAAATCAGATTAATAAAGTCGTAATATGTTACCCGATAAAATTTTCCACCACAGAACTTGTTGCTGAGTAAAACCAGAAGCTATGAGGTGTTTAGCGTTTCTGCTAAACGAATGTAATAGTTACTGGATATAGAAAATAAAAGTGGCATGGCGTAGAACCATTGATTCAGACATCTTCGCTCTCAGATGTTCCTGAAGGAAAAGTGAAACCCTTCGCAGCCTCACCCACATGAGGATGCAGAGCAGACAGAGTCATTAAGTTCGGAGCAGATAAACTTCACCGTATAAGAAGCTGCTCATAAAACGCCTCATTTGCAGAATTCACAGCAACAACAACAACAACAAATTCAAGTACGGGACTTTCAAGCCGAGGACGGGTTCCTCTCTGCTCCTAATTAACTCACATAATTCTCCACAGTAATTTAAAACATGGCTCCCCTCCTCAGTCAGCGTCAGGATTATCGCATTTCAGGACGAGGAAGCTGTGCGTAATCCTCGTCTGAATGTTTACAGTGCAGCATGCGCATTTCATTTAGGGAAGCCATTTGCATTCATCAAACGTTCAAATTGACAGAGTCGCCTGTTCAGTCAGGGTGAGACGTACAGTGGGGAGAAGACTGATTAAAACTATTAATGGATGGTTAATTGTTGTTTGCTTACTTTCATAATAACCTGAGAGCTGAAGGGCAAAGTGTTTCATGCTGCAGATTCCCTCCATGTGGATAGAAAATTGTTATCGCACATCTGAGCTTACAGAGGCGGATTTACATTCTTCAGAATCCAAACGTAGCCGCCTTTCATCCTGGTTTCCTTCGTTTGTCCTTTCTGCGAGCTGGGCGGCTCTGTTTGGAACGTTTTATTCCTCTCTATAAATATTTTCATGATATATGCAGCCATGTTTATGGAAAGCTCATCCAGGAGGAAGTGATGGTTACGTTCTGTTGTGAAAGGATGATCATCACAGGTGTCGAACACTTAGCACATAATAATAATAAAAAAAAAAACTTTATGAACTTCAAAGAATAAAACGCAATGAAAATGACTACAGATGCACTTGCTGCACGGCGTTCAACGGCAACTGTAAAACTTTGATTTCCTGTAAGAGTGAGTCATAAAAACCACATTAATTACAACGACGGTTAGAATTACTCTGCTAATTAAGGGACTGCAGAACAAGATCCTAAACCGTCTCCCTGAACTGCTCATGTTCGTCTTTGCACATTTTCTCACATTAAACACACAAACTGTATTGTGTTTTATTGGGATAACATTATGTTATTGTTATTATGAAGAGGAAAGAACATGACCCACGTATCTGTAGATCCTGAGGTTTTTTCTACGTTATTCTCTGATCGTCCCTGATTGGCTGGCACACGTTTTACTCTGGAATTGCTTCTTCAAAACCTTCCACAATAACCACTCAATGCCTAATCAAAGCCTAAGGTGTGTCTTAAAATTCAAGGCATTTATTTAGTCATTTATTGTAACAGATCATCTTTAACACTAGCTGCCTTTCCGTAAAATTGAGCAAATTGAAATTGAGAGAATAAATTAGCTTAATGAAAACATAAACATATCTTTGCGTTCGGACAAAGTGTTGAGCTATTTTTTTATTTTTTATTTTTGCCATATCAAAATAGATGTAATGGACACACTTTTATCGCATCACACGAGTCACATGACCAACAGCCGGATGTTACAACTGGGAAAAACCATGAAGAAGAAGAAAACAGGAAGTGGAAGGAGGATGATGGTTTGTTTTTGTTTCCACCAAAAACGCCCGAGTAGGCGGGGCTTGTTGCTCCAACCCCTGAATGAGATGCCAACGTCTCCTCTGATTGGCTGATAGATGATGATGAGCGCCAGGACTATGACTAAACCATGGACTAAACTATGAACGTGTAGTGTGTAAGTGTTGACATCCTCCGCTGCCATCAGTTTTAATGACTTATCAATGGATACCAGCTGATGCAGTTTGCATTGCAGCATCATTTGGAGCCAGTGATCATTTTTGTACATTTCTGACAACAATTCCATGTTTGAGCCGCAAACATTAAAATCAAAACTATTGCCTCTGGCCTTATTATAAACGGCTGGTGTTTAGATTGCTGTGTGTGTTGTTAAAATGAAAACCAACAGAACATTAAAATGTATTCAGATCTATAATTTTTTTTTTTATAAATATGAAATTTCTATTTTATTTACCAAAATAAAAATAACATATTTTGGGGGAAAAAAAATTTGAATTTTTTTTATTTTATTTTATTTTAAATTGTAACATTTTCAAATATAAAAATAAATGTACTTTTTTTTTTCCAAAGTGAAGCAAAAATGTTTTATTTTGGAAACCTTCCAAAATAACTCCTGGCATTCTTCCATGTGGTCTCTCTGATTCCATGAGATAAAGATTGTTTGTAAGGCCTGCGTCTCAGATGACGAGTCAAAGTTAAACCCTGAGTCTCTAGAGTGCAAGTCAGAGCCAGTCTGAGGTTATTTATGGACATGTGATGCTTTTCACTCACCGGTTTCAGGCCCCTGCTCTGGATCCTGCTCCATCTTCTTGTCGGTTATGTCTTTGTGGGACACGAGGAACAGAACCACCTCTCCTTTCTCGTTCTTGATGGGCACGATGTCCAGCAGGCACCAGAACTTTGTACCTGGAAGGAGAACTCACAGTGAGGGGATGCACAGAAATGCTGGCGGGCTAATTAACGTCGCGCTGATCTCACCAAACTCTCCAGAATTCATCTTCTCTGTCTCTCATTAATCTACCGGTGAAATCTCCTGTCAAAATGATTGCCTTGAGACACTGCTGAATGTTATTATATGCCACTCATAATAATTTTTCAATTAGCGTCCCAAACGCCACATGACATCTCAGAATGAATAAAATAAATTTCATTGAATCAGAGACAACAGTTTCTCTTTTCTTCACCGTTATTCACATTCAACACTGCTTTGGAACATCACAAGAGTCTTTTAGCTTGCAGCTATTGTTTTTCTGGACCACTTCCCGCCCGCCCGTCCAAATTAAATTGAAATACATTTTTGAATTTCTCTTAACCGATAATCAGCTGATTTGAGATCCGCTCATTTCGCTTTAGAAATGTTCGGATTCCACGTGAAAAAGGAATTAAATCAGGATTTAACTAGAATGTTTAGTCTGAAAAATAAATACCACCTAAGTTGTTTTTGGTTTCTAGACAAAATATGCAGTTTTTGCTTATATTGTTCAAAATACGCAGAGCATCCTGTACAAGGACGCATGTGACGATTCCACGTCACTTAACTGAACATGAGTCAAAAATCATTCATGGCAAAATAAATCGAGTATCGAGATTTTTGGTAATTTTTTAAAAGCCGATATATTAAGGGACATAATTAAAATAATTCTGATGTTTTACTGGAATGTGCTTTAATTACTCTATCAGATTAAATGTGTTGTTCTGAATGCAATTAAAACATATATATATATATATATATATATATATATATATATATATATATATATATATATATATATATATATATATATATATATATATGTGTAGGTGAATTAGAAATGTTATGCATTATGCTGAATAAACTACTAAAATTGACATTACATTTTCACCAGGAGAAAAGCTCTGCTTCCTTTTCATAGCTTCACCTGCAGCCCACCCGCTCCCCAAGGTGCATTGTGGGTAATGAGAAACCCAAAAACTGAAAACCAGGGAACATTTTGTCAGGTTAAAGGCATATGAGGGGGGAGGGAGGCAAACAGCTTTTGTCTTCCAGGATGGGGCTCTAGGCTCCCGCTACCTGGGCAGCGGCTCCAAGGATAATTTAAATCTTATCCTGGCAGGTGTTTATGCAGGTCTTAGCCTGGTAGATAAGGACATTTGTATTCAGAAAGAAGACAAAGCTGTCAGAAAGGTGCCAGAATACAAAATTACAAGAGAAAAAGAGAGGCAAAACGTAGGGTTTTCAGCTTATTCAGCTAAATTTGATCCAGTATGAGTGGAGACATTCAATCTGAACCGGCCAGAAGAGTGGGAGCTTATCTCAGATGTGAACAAGTTTTTCTCTTTAAGCACACTTCATCCACATTAGAGAACAGTAGCTCTGTTATCTCTAGGTGATTTGTATCTTGTCTCATATTTTTAGTTGCAGAAACAAAGAAAACTCTTTAAATTATTTATATTTTGTCACATTAAACCCACAGAGTTGTATTTTATTGGGATTTTGTTCCATAGACCAATGCGAAGTAAGAAATGGTAAAGTTAATGAAAACGCTGCATGGTTTTCACAATTTCTTTATGAATGAGAATCAGAAAAGGGTGGCTGTACATAATCAAACTCAATGAAAGTAAATGAAAAACAAATAAATGTCTTTTATAACCGTATATGTTCTGTGAACGCTTCAGAGGTTTGCAACAATGAAGAGCGAGGAACACAGCTGAAGTATAAAGCAGAGTTAAGATTATAAAACATCATATCAATTATATCATTATGTCAGTTAGCGAGAATTGATAAACAGATGAATTAAGCCAAATGCAGGGTAATTGTAAAAAAAAAAAAAAAAAAAAAACTATTAGAGGTGCCAAAAGACATGGAGAACAGATTGAGCAGTGTCAATGTGACCTTTTAAAGGTCCAGAAATAAAGCCAATTCAGAACGTATGGCAAGACCTTTTAAAGAAGTATGATTTTTATGAATCTATCCAAGGCTCACAAAGAATGTGCAAAACCTCTGTGTCTATATGTGCAAAGCCAGTAGCAATGAACCCCAAGATGGATGCAGCTGTAGCTGAAAGTGGCTCAAGAAAGTGTCAAATCTGAGAAGTCCTGAAACGCCCCCCCTCCCAAAAAAAAACAAAAAAACGCTGCATGCCACACATTTCAGACTTTTATTAAACATTTGAAATCCTTGGATCATTTCAATTTCACCTCACAATTAAGCTCTACTTTGTGTGCTCCTTCACTAAGATTCCCACATTCAGGTCATTTTGCAGCGTCGTTTTAAAGTGTGATGTCGCCTCGGAGCCCAATGGAGACCTTGGTGGTGCGTAAGAGATGGCAGTGAACATATTAATGTGGACTGATTTCCCCGGACATCACGTTCCCCGAGCGATTCCTTGTGGGTGAACAGGATGATTTTAATCACTACAGAGAGTCGAAGGTATGATGAGACCATCATCATCCTTCAGATGGATGAAAAGCTGCATTCCAGGACTGAAATCTCTGGTTTTCTTCTGAGAAGTGTAAAGATTGTGGTTCGGGGTTTTTCCAAGCGTTTTCTGTCCACTGCCGTATCCCACAGCAGCAGCATTTCCGTTAAGCATAGAATTGCGTCAATTGAAATTACGCAAATAAATTTCCTTAAAGGAAACGCGACAACTTTGGAAAAAAAAACTCACATTTTTCTAGCAAAAAAAAAAAATTGTGCTGGGATGAGGAGGTTTTTGATTTATTTCACAAAACTAAACTGGAAAAACTTTTTTTTCTTACATCACACAAGTCATGTATGTTATTGTATGTTACCACTGGTGAAAACAGAGCTCTCACAGCATCACAGTTCAGAAAACGCTGTGTGTCATTCCGACATGTTGAATCCATAACTCGCCGACTACAATTTCCCCAGAATGCCGCACACCTGCTCACAAGTCGCGCCAACCCCTGAATAAGGTGCCGACGTCTCCTCTGATTGGCTCAATTAGCATGTCATGTATCTGTTTACATGACATTTACATGACTTATTGCACTAATAAGCTTACTCAAGTGTGATTTTAATTTCATTTCTTATTTAATGAAAATGCCGCAATTGCAAAATTTTCTTTCCAACATCAAGGGGAACATTGACAAAATTTTACGACTTCCATTGGGGAACATGGCAACCACATTAATTGAGAAGAAAACCTGCAGGGAGATAAAAAAAAATCTCCTCGGCTTGTGTTGGCACTGGCAGTTAGCCAGGAGGCTGCTAGGAGCAATGAGAAAACTCCTGCTGGTTTATCTGACCTGTAGGAGGAAAACAGTTGAATTTGGCTTAAGGCCTTTCACAGATCAAAGGTCAGGCATCAAAGCGACGAATCATCATTCGTCAAAAGCAACATAGTTGCCAGTCATCGAGTGGAGAAACAGACGTTTTCTACAGAATTGAAACGATTTCATGAGGGTGTGTCTGTGTGTGTGTGTGTGTGTGTGTGTGTGTGTGTGTGGCCCTCAGAGCTATTTAACTACATTCACACTCTAAATGAGGCAGGACGTCATTTTTCATTTTCTGTTTCCCCAAATCACAATCTGCTCTCTGGTTTCTGGTGTCATTATTTATATATGTCTGAGTTGCAATATCACATTAGTTTTACATCTACCAATTAGTTTCCTTAAATGTTAGAAGTTATGATTTTAAAACATAAAAAGAAAAAATATATATCTCACTTGATAATGATTAGGGTTGCTCTCCTGGAATTCCCTTTTGTAGATTTTATTTTCAATAAATTTACACTTCTGAAAGGGGAAGTGAACAGTTTGAACATGATTTGGATTCTGCACATGAACACATCTCTCACTAATAACTCGGGGCTAGTTGCAAAGAGCAGATTTCTCAGAAGGAGCGAGTGGAGGAGAATCCCTAAAAATAGAGTCCTTGGTAAAGGAACAGCTTCAAACTCCACATGCTTCTTCTGTGGAGATATTTTCATTTTGGCCAAGAAATAAATTACAATATCATGTACAAACAGGAAAACAAAATGAAATCGCTTGTCCTTCTGCTTTTTATCTACTGATACTCTTATTCCATTTAACTGCATACCCTCTGATTTACTCTGATTAGCACAGCTTTTGCCTTTTTGTTCTTGTTAACCAGGTTTTTTTGTAAACAGCTCAAGTTCAACGTGGTACAATCTTTGCAAAATCCTAAAAGTAGAAACACCAAATTCAAAATATTTGAGCTAAAGTTGCTAATAATCCAAGCGAAAACAGAATTCCCGTATTTCCTGCAGACTGCCTCGGACAGAAAACATTTTATTCAGTGAGCTGTTTAGATGTGGAGTATGCTGTTACATCACAGGGCTCAAAGCTGTCACTTCTCGTCTCCCCGTCCGTATCTTCACCAAATATAAAACTACTCTGGAAGTGGGAGAGCCCGTAGTAATTAGTCCTTGATTGGCTTTGTCATTAAAAGCAAATTCCCATCAGAAAATCGATAAAGTAGCTATGCTATATTGACTTTTTGTTGCTTTTAATAATTCATTTGAACTGTTTCTTTCTTTATCAGGAGTGCTGTGATTATACAACACAAAAGTGGAAGATTTTAAGAAAGGGTTTCACATGTGAAACTCATGAAAAACATGTTTTTACATGTGCATCACATAAAACGTGTGTGACATGTTGTATGTGTGATAAACATGCGGAAACACGTGATACACATAGAAAACGTGCATCGAATTTTGTCTCACATGTTAAAATATGTGAGACAGTAAGATATGACACACATGTGGAACATGGATCGCATGTGATAGACATGTGTCCCATGTGACACTTAAAATATGTGTATCCCCATTTGTCTTTGTTTTTATTCAGCTGAGTTTTTACCTTTTAACTTCCACGCTTTCTCAAAGTGGATTAACCAGAAGATTTTTTTTCTTCTCTATTTCTTTCACAAGTCTCATTCCACTCAATCATTTTAGATTTCCCCCTGTTTTTCTTTGGATTGATGTTTTTTTTTTTTTAGGATAAATTAAATCATTTGTAGTTTCTTGAAGCCAACTCAACTCCTACCCTTCTCTCTGTCTGGCTGCACAACAGGCGACGTTAGTAAAAAGGCAGAAAAATCATGTCACATTTTTAGTATCATGACTTGGAGTGATGCAACGCTTGCTCTCACGTTCTGCTGCAACAACGAATCTGACAACGTTTACAACAACCTCAGCAGAGTCTGCATAACTGATTCGACCCTGCGGCTGATTCTCTGCAACACGCAGGCTTTGTCCAGTAAAAGTGGCTTCTTAGTGGAGACAACCGGCCAGCTAACCATTCCAGCTTGCACATGGAAATGCATCTTCCTACACGGCTACAAAAACGGGATTGTTTTTGTCTTATGGACCAAACAGCAGCTCAGGGACAGCATGTCTCAGTGCTTTGCTGTAGTTTCCATTCCCTGGAACTTTTTTTTTTTTTTTTGCATTTTGTGATATTACAGCTACAAAGTCAATTTTCTTGGATTTAATGTGTCTTTCTTGGATGGAGCAAGTAAGGGTATCATATCGGCCGATATCAATAATTATTGTCAGTTTTTTGTTTTGAATATCGGAAATACTGCCAAAATACTGATGACATCTTCAAATCTTCAAATAGAATTTTTTGTCTGTTTTTATTTGCAAAACAAGGTCAGTCAGATTTTCAATATTACTTAATGTTAAAAAGTACTTATAGGAGAAAATATTGAAAAAACCCCTGAAAAATTTAGTCTCAAAAAAAAAAAAAAATTACTTTTGCAACTCAGAAAATGTCTTATTTTTTCTGAACAATTTCTGAGATAAATCTCAAAATTTCTGTTTTTTGGTGGAAATTTACTTCTCCTTTTTATTTTAATTTGTATTTTTTTTAATCTACAATGGCAATAATAAATCCTAATAAAATACAATAAAACTTCTTATATTGCGACAAAATGCGAGAAAGTTGAAGTGTTATGAATACTCAGGAAAAGCAAAGAACTGACGTGATCATAAACACGTCCAGGATAAACAGAAGGAGCTGAAGTGACTCTCAGTGTTTCTGCTGACGGATCCAGAACTCTGCAGGTTCTGGTCTCACCTTCCTTCTTGTAGAACACCAGCTCCGTTTTGAACTCCCTCCTGTCGTCCAGTGCTCCTTGGATCTGGGCCGTGGAGCGGTCGCTGGTTTCCGGGCCGTACAGGAAGTGACAGGCGCAGCTCTTCTGCATGAGCTCGGCGCGGGCGTAACCCGTGAGCTCGCAGAAGCCGTCGGAGCAGTAGACGATGGGGTACAGGGACTGGACCTGGGCGTTCCCCAGGACAAAGTTACTGTCTGTGGAGGACAGACAGGACAGCGGTCAGAACAGCCAGATTACACTCATAGAGAGTGTTGTGCAACACCATAAACATGGGATACCAATATGTCAAAGTTTTAATAAAATAAAGGTGATTAGGGGTTGGAGTTTAGTGGGAAGAAACTTTTCATTTCCTGTCTACAGTAACTAATATCCCATTTTTAAAAACCAAGTATGAGAACAAACACATTTAAGAACCTGCTGACTACTTAATGTCAATACACTCCTAACAATCAACTTATAAATGGTTTATTTTTTGATAATTTATCAAATATATATCCTGCATATTACTCAATATTTCACAAATCTAGTTTTAAATAGTCTGCTATCAGAGTAGCGTAATCTGGTCCAGGTCTGACGTGTGCAAGTATTTTAGTTTTTAAACTAGAGCAGATCAAAGACACTCAAGGCAGAGCAAAATTGGGTGGAAGCGCCCTTTAGCTGTAGCTAATTGAGTTTGCTCATTTCTGTGCAAACTGACAGGAAACTAAAGGTGTGTGAAGCTTCATAGTTTTTGTATCAGCCTCATATTTAGTAAATACAGGACAAGTATCGCTGATACCGATGCTTTTTATCGTTTAAGTTTGACATATGACCTTTCACCTCTGATGCTGGACAGTTACAGAGAACAGCAGGACAAAGTGATGCAACAAACACGACAGTTTTCTACCCGCATCCATCAACTTTTCAGCAACTCAGAATTGGTTGTTTCAGGGTTTCTTTTCTTCCAATTTTTGTCAGCAGTGAACCTCAACATGCAACAATGTGCTGCAAATTATTATTATTATTATTATTTTTGGACTATTTCTAAAACTAGAGGTCCAATAAAAATGGTGGTAAACTAAAGATTCAGAACTGGGTCTGTGTGCTTCCACAGCTAAAGATTTGTTCAGAACCAATAGCCTGAAAGCCGACTGAGGTACATCAAAGACATTTTTTCTGGTTTCTACAAACACACACGCAAAAAAACAAAACAAGTATTTGCTTGTCAAATATTTTTATCCCCTGCAGGTTGAATCTCACAGCAATCAGAGAACTAAAACACGGAGACACAAAGAAATCCTTAAAGCGAGCTCTGGGCCCATTTTTTACTCCAACGTGAAGAGCCGAGGCGGCCCGCTGGAGGCTTGGGAGACGGCAGCTAACAAGAATCGATCGGGTGAAGTAAACATGACAAGAGTCATCGCAAAACCGCGAGCTTTCTGTAATTGATGCCACCAGAAGCTCACGTGTCCGCCCTCCGGTTACAATCAGGCAGGAACACACGCTGCTTGCTGCCTTCAAACACATTCTGGCTGTTAATCAGCGTTCTCCTGACAAATGTGTGTATGCACACGCATGTAGACGTCATCTTTGGCCTGCTGCATATTCAGTCTGCGGCTCCGGGCATGCAGACGAGCGAGCGCTCCGAAAGGGACAATCTATTACGTTGAGCTCCGTCGTTCTCATCGATCCATCAGCGCCGAGGGCCCGTAAGAACACATATTAAATATCTGATGGCTGATTCACAAGTTGTGTGTGTGTGTGTGTGTGTGTGTGCCTTGAGCTCATTAGGCAGCTTAAAATGAAGTGCTGAGGAAAGGAACTCATCAAAGGAGCATAAAAAGATCATCCTAAGACCACATCAACGCGCGGTGAAGAGGGTACCAGTGTTGGCTGAAACCCCAAGTTAATAGCGTGTAATATCCTTCGGACCATCAGTCACTCAAGCAACCATTACACGATCCATATCAGCTAATTACTCCTGTGTTTGAAACATGAACCTTTCTTCCCCTTCCTGCTCTCTTGTGTTTTTTGGTTTTTTTTGTTCTCCTGGGAGAAGAGAGGACCACCTTCCTGCTTTGCTTCCTCCTCCACTGGGAATTGGTGCTGACGTCACCGGATACCCAGAGGTCTGGATGTGCTGCAGGAGTGTTTACTCAGGGTCCCACGCTTGGCAGCATTTCCAGGTAAAAACTACCAGCACCTGGATCCTCACAACAACAGGTGACAGGCTGGCGGTCCATCCCTTTATGTACAGCAGAGGTTGGCGATGCTATTTTAATATCGATTCGATACCAAAGAAATACCGGGACAGTATCGCCAACACCGATACATACCGATATACCGATGCACTTTTTAATTATTTAGTATGACATATAGGTGTTTTTGTGATTCCCCCCCCCCTTTCACATTATTTTGTTAAAATCTTAGATTTTGAGTAAAGTTTTCAGGTGTCCACAAAATACTTTAAAAACATATTAACAAGATAACCAGAAACAGTAGAAAAACAAACTTGTATGTTTTTTTTCTCCTAAATAAAATGCAAAAACATATTATAATTTAATATGAGCTGAACTGTCTATTTTTCAAAAAAAAAAAAAAAATTGCAACAATAATTTGCATCATTTTATTTAACTTATTAATGCTATGAGACAAAAACAGCTTTCAGCATATTCCACAGCTTTACGCATGTCTGAAGTATTTTTAATTCCCAATTTCCCTGTAAGACGGTTTAGAAGTGAGTAAAAGGAAGCAAGGTGGGAAGCTGCTGCTGGAGACGGGCAGCGTGGCGTCACGCCAGCAACTCAAAGGCTACAATAGACTGAGCTGGGTTGAGGGAGGCGAGGAGGGCAGGAGGGGGGCCATACTCAAGCATCAGAAATACACTGGAAGTTGGATACATATGCTGCCATTTATTTTTGTCTCCTTAGCAACTCCAGCATCACGAACAAATGTCAGAGCATCAAGATCACCCTCTGCTCGCTGACTCACCGATTGCGCGTCATTTGGGCCGTCACACCAATCAGAGCCGACGACGTATGGACTCGCGTTATGCAGAGGAACCGTTTGAGGCTGTCGGCGTGTGGAATGTGGTGGGACTTATGTGATTTTCATAAAGTTGAGGATCAAGATGGAAACACTTCCTGAACTAACCCTAACCCCAGGCTGAATCCCTTCACATCTGATTGACCGTTTGAATCAAGAGGAAGTTCAAATCCACTCCACCCACAAAACTGGTTGAATTTGGATGCTTTGATTTCATACGTACTAAATGTTTATCAAAGGGCGCTATTGACCCTTTGCACATGATGTCACTCTCTTTAGGAAGCGTCCTGCTCTGCCATCACAGGCGTTAAAACATCCTGTGCACAGGCCGAAAACAGACAGCTGGTGGCCTAACGCTGCTGTAACGGAGGACGGCTGCAGGTGCAGAAACAGACGAGGATTTAAACTAAACTTGTCATTTTATTGTAAACTTTGGACATGGGAAGAAGGATAGCAGCAGTCAGTCAGAAGGACTGGCAGCAAACACTTTTTACAAGGTAAGAAGATTAACATTCATGTTCTTCATAAGTAAGTGAGATTAGTAAGGTGCAACCAAGAGCTGCATTATGGAGAAGCTACCCACCTAATCATTAGTAACCATGGAGAAACAGCCTCTCCATCTTGCAGAGGGACAATCTCCTTCTGTAAAGGAGCGCTGGCCGTCTGACTATTTGCACAATATCGTCGATTTTAAGGGCTCACTGAACAAAAATCTGAATGCATTTTGATTCTGAAATTGAGCCTTATAGGCCTCATTTAACCCAGACAGATGACATGCTGCAGCCATGACGCCGCTGTAATGTGCTTTACGTCCTCATTCTCATCAGTTTGTCACCTTACTCTCTCTGGGCTGAGTCTGTCAGGCTACCTGAGGAAAAACCTTAAATGTCAGGCTGCTGAGCTCTGTCCCAGGTGAAGCCCTCTGCACACAGCCTTCCGCCCAGAACAGAGCCGAAAGAGGAAACTGTGATACGGATCGTTCACAATGGATGCTTTGTGCTGTCCTTGGCCTTTTGTACCACAACGTTTTATCAGTGAAGGCGCTTAAACCCCGCACGGCGACGCTCGGTGGTGTGTCCAGAAAGATGTGCTGGAATTTTACTACATTTCTCTCAGAAAAGATAATATTACGCAAAACTGAACTTAAAACTTTCCTTAAAGCTTAACTTTAATAAAATATATATGTTTTTGTTGCGACAGCTTGTTATGAGACAAATAATCTGTGACTACTGTCTCAATAAACGTTCCACTCCCGACCAAAAACAGCCAGTCAGAGCCAGGAGAAGCAGCTTAGCGCTGTCAATCGACCTAGTGTACTCGCTGCTCGATGGGCCACTAGCAGAGAAACAATTTACCACTACAGGAAAACCATTTATCTGCCGTCATCGGTGTCATGCTAGTTAGCATAGCCACCGCTAGTGGCCACCTGGCTGCAGCGTAGCACAGAGAAAGGGAGGGAAGGTGAGAGGGAATGGGCAGCGCCACACAGAGGGTCATTCACCACGCTAAGACCCGCCTCCTGGCTCTGATTGGTTGTTTCTAGTTAGCATTAGGAGAAGGCAGAGAAACTAAATTTTTTTCACAGATTATGCCTCATACCATACTATCACGACAACATTTTCAACAAATATGTAAAAGAAATATTTATTTCTTAAAAGTTACATATGTAAAAAAAATATTTAGAATTTATTTTTGGTTGTTCTTTTTCAACCAGCTGTAAGTGATGTCCGATCATTCATTCACCTTAAAGTGCAAAGAAAGCATTGTTACCGGGTAGTTTTAAAGATCTGTTGCCAATATATAACAAAAAGATCCCATCAAGCCGTCAACCATTATCCAAGGAGCCTAGATCTATTCTCCACCACATCAGGCCTGGAGCGGTCAGCCTGATCTGCATGCAGAGCCTGGAGGAACCGCTTCTCCTGCTCATCAAAGACCCCCAGCCCGTCTGTCTGAGGATGGCATCATTTCTGCCCTCCATTCTGCTCCAACACACCTTAAAAAATATCTAATGAATCATTCATCAGCGGCTCCCGCAGCCTCAACTCTGCAGCCCAAACTTCTAGTTAGCAGGCTGAGAACTCTGGGGCAGAGAAGAGCCTTTTTAATAAATTAATGACGCTTTTCATTTTTTTTTTTTGTGACACCAGAGAAAGGCAGCTACACATTTAATACCAGG